TCTTTTATGCACCTGAACAGTCAAAGCTCCAATGGGTGGTTGTTGGAGCTGTCGGTGAGGTTTTCATAGATGACACGAGGCTGCTTTGATTCCATTTCATAGAGTAAACAGATCCGTGAAGAGGAACATACTTAATTTTCTTTCTGGTGTCTTGCCAAATGGATGTTTCTAATCAGCCCCTCTTTTCTGGTCTGGTAAACAAATTCCCCTAATTTAATGACAGAAAGGTAATTGGATTGTACCTCTATAGCATAGACATCTCTGTCAGAAAGGAAAAATAAGCCTCAAAATTCCTTCCAGTCCCATCTTTTTAAATCTCAGCTGGAGAGTGAATGGCACTGGGAGATCATGCCGTGTTTTAGTATCAGAGTTTGTAGACCCAACATAAACAAAGATCATCAGAAAGTAGCTTTCACAAACTGGCCAAGGGTCTGATGTGATGCTGGTGTGAGAGATTCTTTTTTCACATGAAAATGTTTGGTCTTGGCCAGCACATTGAGCTATTTATAATGTTTGTTTTAAGACATAACATTGTTTGACTAAGTGGTCATTCTTTATTAATATCTTAAGGGAAAAACCTCATCATAGGTTACTTATGTGCTTGCCAGAGGATCCCAGATTGCTCTTGTCAGTGGGATACAAATCAGGTTTGAATGGTACCACAGACTCCCTTCATGTTTTGCAGGATTTTCTTCCTCTGCTGGTCAATGGATCATCCATCCAAATAAGCCTGATGATTCACACACTGAGAGCAGTTTTGAGTCGCCGGTTCACCCAGGTGTCGCGTGACTCCTTCAGGCTGTAGGAATCTCCCTTATGCCTGGTGAGGCGTCAGTATCTTCCTCTTGCTTTATCGTGGAGGATGTGGCAACAGGTGTGAGTTGAGGGCTCCCATCCTCGTCCTTTGGTCTCGTGGCTCTGGACATTTCTCTGTCACAGTGTTGTGCTCCCACGCGTCTCCATTTCTGTGTTCAATGTGTAATTCTGGACTCGTATCAGAGGATTTGCAGAAAGCTTAACTCCCTGGCCCACTCACAGTAATGAGTTTCATATTTCATATCTCCGCCAGGTCCCTTTCTGCGCTAAGAGGATCGATTGCTATGTCTCGCTGACTTGTTGATAAAGTGGCATTTTCATCAGTACCTTAAAGTCTGACTCCATGTCCGTGTTTATGTTTGCATGGCAGAATGTGCTTGTGTGGGGCCAAACCAATGGCTGTCTTGGGAGGGTCAGGATCTGAATGCTGATTGGTCCCATCCAACCCTTGGTCTCCATAATTTGTATGAATTATGCGTGTTCTGTTTGGTTTCACATAAGGCACCCAGATAACAGCCAAGCCAGTCCAAAACCTAATAAAAGCCACTGTTTACCAGTGATCCCAGCTCCCTGTTTCCATTGCTGCCCGACTTAGTCTCCCCCATCCCCATTTAACCTCTGCCAGAGGAACACTTTGTAATCAGATCTGTTCCTTGTTGCCGAATCCCCCTGGCTTATGGGTCGGTCTGCAGCTGGAGGCGTTCAGCTTAAGATGTCTCCAGAATGTCTACGGTGTCATCAGACATCAGAATGATATCTTTACAGATGAATTTGATGATGCCTTGCTGACTGGACCCAATACTTTGAGATCCCTGGTCTAAAGAATAAATGAGTCAGTATTTACATATGAAGCTGTACAGGTCCTAAACACTGTCCTTGTTAAACATCTGGATTTCCTTAGAGAAGCAGCTTGTTAGGATGCTCTCTGGCCTCTCTGCTGTCTGGGGGGGGGGTAATCCACAGCATGTTGCTAATTAGCATCGTTGTTTCACGGATGGCCGACGTTTTCATTGACTGTGGCGGTGTGCTCTGAAGCACAAGGCTGGCTGCAGAGGGTGCGTCTGATGAAGAGCCACTGTCTGCGTGCCCCAGTTGGGGGGTGTCCCCATTCACTGGGGGCATTTACAGCGATGGTGTGTCCTGTTTGCTGTCTCTCTACAGCGAGAGGGAGAGTGCTTTCACCTCAGTAGCGCCCCCTGCCTGAACACTGTTCTCCAGCTTGACACCAAACTGCTAATTAGCTTTACTGCTGCCAACCCCCTCCCCCCAGCTTCCTGGGGGGTGTTTCCAAGCCTGTGTTCACCACACATTAATGATATGATGTCAAAGTCTTCAACTGGGCCTCCATTGTGGAAGTGGCAGCCCCCCCCCCCCTCAGCAGCAGAGAGGGGCTAATGATCAGCTAATGCTAACAAGGCACAACTGGCAGGGTTGTTATAGCAACGTCACACTCCTTAAATGCTCGCCAGGCATATCTTTCTCACTGTTTTTTCATTTCAGGCACTTTCATATAAAGAGATACATCAGAAATATGAGATTTTATTACGAAGTGTTGCTGACAAAACTGAAAGCACGTTTTACGGCAATGAAGCACTTTAACCTGGTAGGTTTTGCACTGGGTGCAGCTCACTGGAATTTGGCTATTTTTAAATTACATGGAAAAGAACACTAGGAGGCACTGTGAAAGGTCAGCACAGCCTACTGCGAGCTGTATGCGTGCAGGAATTTGGCTCAAACCAAACTGGACATTATCATGAGCTGCCTGAGAGCCGCGGAATGAGGGCCCTGGGTCCGGCTCCTCAGGGGCCCGCACCGCTGTGGTCCTCAGCCCGGTGATGGCTGGGGGTATCTTGTATCCTCTTCCCGGTCAGCCTCCCCCAGAGGGAGGTATGACCTCCTCATCTTCCCAAAGGCGTAGCTGGACTTAATTGAGTCGTTGTTGAATTAATTGAGTGTGAAGAACGTAATGTCACTTCTTTGGCAAGGTGCAGCTAAGGCCGTCGGGGGTGCTTTCTGGAAGCTTCTGTCTTGGGACTCCACCCCATGAACAGACCTGTGGATGATTACTTGCTTGTTAGGCTTGCTGCTGTTTCCAGGCTGTGCCCAGTAAGCAAAGCCTTCTTCCGCTTTGGAGAGCGATAAGCCGGCCCTGGATCTCCTTCACTGGCCAGCTGCTTTGCTTGTTTGGATTCTCAGGGCCTTATATGCTGTCAGTTACAGTTCTTGGACATAAAATCGGAAGTGGCACATATCAGTATCAGCCAGTCACTCTTGCAAAAAAATCAGGAATCAGAATCGGCCAAGAAAACTGTAATCCATGCATCCCTAAGTTCGATTACCCTGAAGAATGGTTGGTCAGTTTAGTGAGGCGGGACAGAGAGCTGCTAGCCTGTTTATTTTAGAACGGTTCATTTTCTACCCTCAGACTTGATGCATGTTGGGATACTGGAGCCGCTTATGGTTATGAAGATCCTCCCGCTAAATGAAATGACATGTGTGTGAAATGGAGGAGGCCAGTGCTGCGCCGTGTTCCCTTGGAAGAAGCAGGAGGTGCCGAGTCAGTAAGGGCTGTTTAATCCGTATTAATATGCACTACAGGCAGGTGGCACATCGCCTGTTTACACTTTACCCTGTTCTGGTTGAAGGATGGATGCATGGGTGGATGGACAGGTGAAGTGTTTCATAGATCAGAATAAATTCACCGGCCCCGTGGAGCTGAATCTTCTCCAGAATTTTTTTCCCTCCAAAAAAGATGATGACCCAGCATCTTGACCTGTGGATTTAAGCAAACAAATATAGATGCTTTAGAGCCTCTTTATACTCTGGGGGGAGCTCTATTTTTAGTATTGTGTGTCCTGTGGGGGTGTGATAAGCTGCAGCTTGGTGTGGGGGGGGGTCTGGGATGGTGGTGCTGTCAGCAGCAGCTGCTGGCCTGGCTATGTGCTGAAAATACTCCCTTCCTGCCCAGGTTCTATGAGCCCCCCCCCCCCCCCCGACTGCTCGGCCATGTCCCTAATGAAGGATCATGGCTGCCTATCAGTCTGTGTGGAACAACCCAAGATTCTTTTGGATGCACCCGGTCTGGGCTCAGACATCGACGTGTGCATACCCTACTCAGACATCGACGTGTGCATACCCTACTCAGACATCGACGTGTGCATACCCTACTCAGACATCGACG